ATCACTCTCATAGTCCATTGGCTCTTCTTTAGAAAGCTGTTCAATTTTAACATCTGTTTTTGGTTCGCCTTTTTTTAGTTCTCTAATTAACGGTTTGTATTGCTGCTCTAGCAGTTTTTCACTCTCCACACTACCATCTTTAAACTGTCTAAATTTACGCCTAACTGCTTCTTTCAACTCTGCTATTTGCAGAGTGAGATGTTTATTCTTCCGCGTCATCTTTGATAATGAGCCTAAAACACCACAGCTAGCCTCTTAAGGCAATTCAATCTGCCGAAAAAATAGTGCACGTTTCTTATGTTTACGTAGGTAGTGCACTACTTCTTTCAAAGATATGCCCGAGGTAATATCTATATCTCGGTAGTATCTCTTTGTCACTAGATCAAATTGCGGAATAGTGTACCTTTTTGACCAATTCCGAAAAACAAACGTTCTTTTCCAATTATCTCTCCATTGTGGTATTTCCGCTACGGTATACCGCTCACTAACGTCACTTTTTTCCATATACCTCTGCAAAAAAGACATTGGACGCTTCATCTCATTGTGGTGTAACAGAAACGAGTTCAATAACCAAAATTCACTTGGATTCGCTCCAGTGAACTCACGCCATTGGTCAAACAGTTGACGATCAGTTATCGTATACACGCCATTATTGAAACTTATTCCAAAACTTTCGCTATATTGTTGTAAAGTTGGCAACGCAGCCTTTAGAAATTCTGTTGTAAACAGTCCTTGGCACAAGTTGTTTACCCCGGCATAAGGTTTACCACGAGATCTCGGTAATCCCGGAGGTACCGGACCATATGCTACATTATAACTCACATCGATATGGCATTTCGACGCCATCGCAGTTTTATAAATCGTCAGAGGTGATCTTATTGGTAGAGTCCGTTCAGTCAATACTATACATCTTGCTGCATAGGGAATATTGCAACCATATTCGAGCATTCGGAGGTAGATCTAGGTAAAGTTTATGCTACCATGAAGGTTGCGCAATGGTAAAACCTTACCAAAAATATCCGGAAACGGTCTAAATCTCGAAATAATATTATGGGACTCTCTAACTGTGCAGTTATTCATATCTTCGTGATAGACCACCAGTTCAAGTGGAACTTTCTTTTCTTCGCATTTTTCCAAAAATCTAATCCAAATTTCACGGTTGTATGTACGTTCACTCGCAGATATCATTAACAAGATAACCGGGGGTAGTACAGCGCTCTGTTTTGGCACTTTATGTCTCCAACACCGCCTATTGTACTTGTGACCATGACGTCCTTTTCTGCTACAGTAGTTTCCACAAAACTTTTTCTTATCGGAATAGTAATATGTGCAAAGATTAGATTTAACATTATGAAGTTTGGTATCGTAACCTCTAAGGTCGTTGTAGGTGTAGATGTTAACCATTATAACTCCTCAATGAAACTGTCAAATCCTATACGGTATCTTCCTTTATTAGTGTCTCGAGTCTTGTCGATAACTAAGAACCCATGATTGTCTTTCCACGCCAGTGAACACAACTGTTTGAATTTATCAAATGGCATGTCGGTAGTGACATGGTCGCTATATACATGTCGTAAATTCGTATCATCCTGTTTGAATAGTATTAAAAGGTTTGCGTTGTCTCTGATAAGCTGCTTTGGTATAGCACTATACGTCTGACCCAAATAAAAGGTGTCAATATTGTTATGCCTACCCATAGTGAAATAGTTTGTAATGTTGTTGTGTTTCTCACAGGATATATCGTCAAATATCATTATTGAATGTTGTTTAGCCTTATTTGGATGAACTACCAAGTTGTTGTCACCATATGCAAAATAACCAATTTCCTTAGGCAGAGCCAATGGTAAAAACTGGTATTTGGGCTGATTCAGGGATTTACAGAAAATGTAGATATTTTCAAAAACAAGACCATTTGGATCGAATAATAAATTAAACACAACATTTGTTTTACCCGAGTTGCTGGGGCCTGAAAGAATCCCGCGAATTGAGTCTGGTAGCAGATGGCCATGTTTATTGTTAGATGCCAGACCCTCGCCGAGATACTCGTCATAGTTTTTTACCGTCAAAGGGGGACTCTGCTGTGCCACACGCATCGTGTTCAACTGATGTAGCACACTCACCCTATCGTTTATAAATACGCCCGGATGCAGCTGCTTGATCTACACAGAGCCGTCACCGGATGCTCTAAATAAGAATGTCGCTTTTACTAAGCCACGTGTCGCTTCTCTTGTCAAAGCCAAGCCATCTGACTTTTATTTTATCTCCTTTCCGCTGTAACACTCTTTCAACTAAATATACATTTCCAGTCTTTGATTTATTTAGCTCCTGTTCATAAAACCCTCCCTTTAGTATTTCACCGTTATGGTCTTTGAGTACATATGTAGGTGGCTTTGTCGGTTTGATGGCGTAAATGGTGAAAACCTCGTTTGTCCAGTTTGGCAGATAGCCTTTAGTAAAAACTCTTTTATACTTGCTAATCCTAACACTATCCCCCAGTTTAAATTTTGGTGCCACCCTTTTTCCCTTCTTGTTTATCCTTTTTAATATTTCCTTTACATTCTTTTGTTTCACATCTTTTGGTTTCATACCAATTGTTTTATGTACCGAGTTATTATATCGTTTGAGAATATCAGGAAGTAATGACAACCATTCATATGTACCCTTTGCGGTAAACTCTTTCCACATCCACTGTTTCAAAGTTCTGTTATATCTTTCCACGATACTAGCTTTTAAATCAGAAAACGTAGAATAATGGTTAATTTTATACTTTTTCATGAGGGCACCAATATGTTTATTAAACCATTCGGTTCCTTGATCGGTTTGAAAGTGTTTCATCTTATGTTTTATCAAAATAGGTTCAAGTGCCTTGGCAACTGCCGGACCTGTCTTATCTTTTAATGGGACTGCAAACCCGAGTTTTGAAAAACAATTGATCATAGTCATGATGTACCGATTACCTTTATTTAGCTTTGCATAAGGCTGCATCTCTACGAGATCGGCCTGGTACAAATCATTCAACCCTTTAAGAGTCACTTTCCGTCTAGTGTAATTTTTTCTAGCAGGTTTGTGTAGCTCTTCAGCTATAGCACGTCTGACATTCATTGTTAAAATGATACAACTTGACAGTGTATTGATAATTTATTAAGTTTTTAGGAATGCTGCGGCCCCTCCACCGCCGCAGCTCGTGATGGCCTCCAAAAACAAACTAGTTGCCACCTCCGTTTATTTTTTTGTTTGTTTTACAAACATTTAGTTTTTACAATATTTACAAGTTACTTTATGGAAGATAAATAACGGAGTCATGCAAATGCGGCATGTTTCTTTGGGGACTTTAAACTTTGGATACATGTAGTTACCTCTTCGCTTTAAGCGAGAAGGAAGATCAACCATTCTTCCACAGTCAATACATAACCTACTAGAGCCTCTAAAAGACTCGTAGTAGTTTAGGGTTACGTAACCACAGTTTTCTCTATGACAGTTCAAAATGTCCTGCCTTAGCGCTGATGGAAGATCAGCACTTTCTTTTACATAAGGGAAAAGGATAACGTTTGTACAAATCTCCCTAATTGAAAGCTCAGACAAGGACAACATGATGGCAAGAAGGTTCCAAATAGAATAGTCTTTTTATTTGCCCCCCAGAAAAGCTGCGGCCCCTCCACCGCCGCAGCTCGTGACGGCCTCCAAAAACAAACTAGTTGCCGTCTCCGTTCCCCCAAAATTTCTCTTACCACCTTCTCAAGGATGGGATCAAGGATTGTAGACAGGAACATCTTCTCAATCTGGTCCAATTGTATAGACGTGCAGCACAGATGGTGCATCTATCTCTTGGAGTCTTAAATTTTGGTACACATACAATTGTTCCAAACCGTCGAAAAAAAATATTCGCTGCCTCTCCACAATCCTTACAAAACTCTTCATTGTCGAGAAAACAAATATGGTAGTAGACATAGCCACAGTTTTCATGGTGGTAATTGAATATATAATCTTTAATCACTGGTGGGAATGCTGCTTGCTTTACAGCACTCAAAAGAAACATGTTATCAATAATTGTTCTAGCTGAGAGCTCAAGTAGGGACAACATGGTGGCGAGAAGGTTCCAAGTGGAATGACACTCACCCCTCCACACATGGTTTACGGGCCTTTCGGCCGCGCCAGTGACCTTCATACATGGTTTAGAGGCGTTTTAGTCAGCCGTGCCAGTGACCTTCACACATGGTTTACGGGCTTTTTAGTCAGCCGCGCCAGTGACCATCATTCACACATGCACAAGGAGTAGCTCAAGTCCCTCCAGATTTGAGCGCCTCAATGTACAAACACATTCAAAAATAGCCCCACTCCAGTTGGATCTCAGCCACCATGTGTTTCGCATCGTGTTTCGGCTGGATATTCTCCATCAAGCGCGACGAGCCGTCACCGTTTATCGTCAAGACAAGGGTGGTATTTCTTAGGCCGGTGGAGCCAATCTACGAAGAACTTCGACCCTTGGATCTCAGGCCACCACCGTTACCACCGAGAAACACAGAATATGCCACCATAAAGGTATGTAGTGATAGTGGAGAGGGGAGCGCAACACATGTGCAGCATGTGCAACATGTGTTCAGTGTCCAACATGATCTCTCTGATGCTGATCGTTAGTGATTTTGTTCAACATTATTTATATCGCAGGATATGTGAATTTTTAAATTTGATTGAAGAAGACAACGATTCAGACACAGACTCGGAATTTGGGGTCAATTGGGGACCAGGAGGGTGGAACGGGTGGAACGAGGTGGATATTGGGGACTGGGGGGAGTGGAGTGACAGTGGTAGTAGTGATTCAGGAGTTGAGATTTTGGTGAGTTTTTTGAATTTTAAACCCATATGGAAGTGTATCATAATTGCTACCATGTTTCCTTTTTGGTCCAGTAATTTTAAACTGTTTGACCTCACTGATTGTAACTATATTCCTATCCTTTGTTCGTCTGATTCTATTTTCCTCAATGTCCATTGTTTGTGCAGCATCACCAAGGACCATCTCTTTCAAACTGTCAAATCCAATCTTTTTAGAAGTTTTCATGTTTAATGTAAGCCCTTTTACTTTACAAACGGGAATCAATTTTTGTTTGTTTGTTGACCACACGAGGTATGCATAGGTTTTTGGTCCTCCAGATACAAACTCTGTTATATATGAACCTGGTCCATACTCGGCCAACTCATCGGTCATTTCCCCTAGATAATCTCCCGTGGGAACTCTATACAAACCGCCCTTGTATACATACAATACAGAATCAGTATCATAATACAACACTTGACCACCCAAGGCATCTAGATGCTCATAGAGCTTCAATCTCGCTTGGGCAGTAGTGTAAGCTGCCACCACAACATTAACATTTTGCAATGGCTCACCAACCTCATCAATGTACTCCCAGCTGACAACAACAACCTCGTCATTGACAATCTGTACTCTATTTACATCAATTTCAGGGCTAGTTAACATTTTGAAAAGTGTTTTTGGGTCCCTGACAATCGTAGCTTTGGTCTGATTTTCACGCTGTCCAAATTTTCCCCAAAACGAGTTCAACATCAGTTTAGCCAATGACCTCAAGCCACCATTCTTTACAATTTTGTCTTTTTCCAGCTGGACACCCTCTTTTTTAAAATAGTCGTCAATGTACTTGTTTTTGTCCTCGTCTGTTTCACACCAACCCGGGAACCCGGATGCTTCCTGTTTCATTTTTAAAAATTTATTTATAAAGTCAGTAAACAATCCCCCATTTTCATATGTGGCTACCTTATACTCCCAAAGTTCATACATGTCGAGTACAACATAACCCTTTTCTACGGCTTTACGAACTTCGTCCATGGTCCAGGTCCCAATAAGTGCTCTGTCACCACTTTCGTGGTCGCAATCACTTTGAATCTGACCATCTCCACAAGTCGCGCACAAAACAAACATTAACTTGTCATTCATTTTGGCCGGGAGCACAGGATGGTAAAGATCGCGTGGTGGGAGTACTTTACACTTCAATAGGCCTTCGACATTAAGACCTCTCTGCCTACACTCTCTATCACCTACATAGATCGTTGGATGGCCTACAGGGTACTTGCCATATTTACATACCCAGGGATAGAGAGAGCATACATCCACGTATTCAATGGTTTCCCCTTCAGCGCATTTGTGATAGGTTTTAGCATTACCGGTTCGGCCCCCAAAAAATGCTTGCCTCGGGTTCAGAGGTAAATTGTTGAGGATCGGCAACTTTTCTAGGTGTTTCAGGTTTTCCGTCTTTTTTAACTTTCTAAATTCACATTCCCACATTTGTACGACGTTATCGCCCAACTTTGCTATTTTAGTTTTAGTCCGTTCATATCGCAAGTGAAGTGAGTCAGAGGGATCCTCTTTCAAAGCAAGTTCACGGTCGTAGGGAAAGCATTTGGGGCAGCCATGGAAGTAGCAGCCTTGAAATTCGTAAATATTTTGACCATCATACCCATCAACTTTCATTCCATTGATCTTAACTTCTTTTCCACGGCCAGCGTGTTCAATTCTAACTCCACGTTTCTCCTCTTCCCACGATAGCCACTGTAACGCGATTGCCGATTGAGCGTCTGTAAGCCTATAACCGTTTTTAGGAACGATGCCGATAGTATTTTTCTTCAAAAAGTTCCGACGGAAGGCCAGGTTACAAGCACTGGCAATGGTTACAGCCTCGAGAAACGGGTCCACATTACACTCTTCCAGGAAAATTGAACGGAACTTTAAACAAGCTTGGGCTAGGATATCAACATCCGAGATACAGTACTCGAGGATTTCTTTTTTAAAGTCAAATGTAACGCGGTTTGCAACCTGATCATTATACCAGTTTTCAAAATCTTTGTGTGATTTTTCAAACATAGATTCTGGACAGTAAAACTCCTTTGCTGGCATAGGGCCCACATAATTTTGATTCTCAAGGGTGTTGAAAAGGTGGGGAAAATAGCCTTTCTTCTTTTCTGGAGGCAGGTCAAATGCTTTAGGTAGTGCAGCAAGAGGCATAGGGAAATAACTAAGTGAATCAACAAACCTCACATTGTCAATTTCCATCAAAATTACCTTAGTTCCCCGCATTACAAGTTTCGGGGTGAACTTTGTATCTTCTAGCACATACTTGAGCAAAAATTGGAAGTCAAAGCCCTGCCCATTGTGTGCAATTACACAGACATCTTTGAAATTTTTACGGACCTGCATCACATAGTCCATGAACTGAGTGACCGGTTCAGATTTAAAGACTCTTGTTCGATTTTTACAAGCCATACAAAATTTAGCCTCAATACACTGATAGCAAAACTGTTGTGACACACACAAGTTTACTTGATGCAATTTAGACTCGGGATCTGAGGGCAGGGACTCATCTTGACGGGTTTCCAAGTCAAAGAAAATAAACAGAAAATCTTTTGACTTTGGCTTTCTCGTGTCAGGCTTCATATAACATTTGTGATTAGGGTCTTCAAAAGAACCACACGGTTTACAATATACTTCGCCACATTTGTGAGGCTTGGACCGTTCTCTAATCCAAACCAGTTTCCCACAATCGAGACATTTCTTTACATTTTTACACTTGTCAGCTTCATGCGCGATAAAACATCCCTGATTTTTATAAGTCATGTTACATTTAGGGCACAGAACACCACCATTTTCCTCTACACAAGGAGGTGAAATGGTCTGACACTGTGAGCAGATGTTTGAGCAGCGGTGGGCTCCTTTGTGATCATAGGGTACATGGCATGCTTCACAAAAATATGTACAAACAAAAGCAGCAGTCAAACTATTAATCACATTGTAGTGACCATCGTGAAACAGTAAATTTAGTGTGAATTTTGCATTTTCTAAATTTCCCTCAAAGTAGACATCGCGACCTTTGCTATCATAGTTGTACACGACAATTTTGTAGTTTGTTAAAAACCCCTGAAATTTTTCAAGTTCCGGGATCCCAGCTCCACCCTCTGGCATTTCAACCCTAGCTCGACGCACAAGTTCCTGAGCCCTAACTGTTTGCCTATTTGCCCTATCCTTTCTAACTGCATTATAGTCAGGATCTTTAGTTACATTGGCCATAGCCACTACAATTGCACGGGGAAGACACAATTTATCTTTATTATTTATAACAACAATTCCCCGTCTTGCCTTGCATTCCTCATCAAACGTATTGTAAAACCCTGGTCTTACCCTTCCAGAACCTACAGGAAGGTTAATTCTAGTGCATTCCACTTTAAAGGTGTCGGTAGATTTTATGGATTCAGAGTTTGATTGCACAATACCACCAAAGATTTGCCACAAAACGTTTTCATCAATTTCAGTAGCCGGACGAAAATTTACATAGCCGGGTGCTTTTGATTTCAAGTTGAGACTCTCCAAGGTAAATCCAAGTTGATCATTTTCAAAAGCTTGTTCTTTCATACTATTTACAATTTGTGCAAACCCCTGTCTCAACCAATCAATCTCATTAGTTTCTGGAGGCGGATTGGTGAATTTAAATACAGTTTTACTCCCATACAATCTAAATTTATTTACATAAGTTTGATCAGTACTTATTAAATTAACAGGCTCAACTACTTTTACGGGTTCAACTACTTCATCAGATACGTTATCGGCCATACTAACATCCATCGTCGTCAAATGCCTAGAGCAAAGTACAAGATACGCGGAGACACAAGATCTAGAGGGGGCACAGTCTGCGCGCGCACACAGCTAAATATAGCACACCGATTGCACACAACAACACTGAGACACAAGATGTGGTGGGGACACAGCTGCGCGCACACAAAGCTGAATATAGCACACCGATTGCGCAATACGTTACAATAAAGAAACAAAGTTCACTTACCACTGATATACCGTAAATAATCAAACTAACATTTAACACTAGAAATAACTTGCAAACATAACCTCAAAACATCAAACACAAGAACACACGTCCAACACGTTCAATTGCCAAGAGCAAAGTGAAAGAAAATAAGTACTGAAAAGTTTAAATAGCAAAAATTGGCCAATCACACAAAAGATCACCTATTTATAACCAATCAGGTACAAGCTTATTACAACCAATCAGCAACCAGGATACACACCTTTAACACTTCCTTGTTTTGTTACAGAACCGTGACGATGAAGAAGAAGAAGAAGATTTATAGTATTTGTAAATATTTTTAAACATATGTAAATATAAATCGTAGATATAGTGGCATTAAAACATATTTTAAATCAAACAATCTGTGTAATTATTCAGGACACATAACTCAGTGGAGGCTATTTCATTTGGCAAGAGTTAATCATTACAGAGGTTATATCAGTTGGCGGGAACCTACGCAATACGTAAAGTGAAGCTTGGCGGGAAGGTAAGGTTACGTTGTTTGGCTCGGAAATAAAAATAAGGTTACGTCACTTGGCGGGAAGGTGAGGTTTTTTTCATTTGGCGCAAAAGTCACTTGGCGGGAAGGTGATTTTTTCATTTGGTACAAAAGTGAGGTTATGTTACTTGGCGGGAAGGTGATTTTTTTCGTTTGGCGCGAAAGTGAGGTTATGTCACTTGGCGGGAAGGTAAGGTTCTTTTTTCGTTTGGCGGGAATTGGTGAAGAAGAAGTCAGGTTTTTTCGTTTGGCGCGAAAATAAAAGTAAGGTTATGTTACTTGGCGGGAAGGAGAGTGTTTTTTTTCGTTCGGTGCAAAAGTTAGGTTATGTTACTTGGCGGGAAGGTGATTTTTTTCGTTTGGCGCGAAAACAAAAGTGAGGTTAGACCACGTGGGACACCAGAGAGCGACCACGTGGGACAAAAGGGGGCGTGGCTTAGGGGGAGGGGTGGGGATGAAATGCTGCTCTCTGATTGGTGGCCTGAAGTACAGCGTATCCTACTCAAGTATTATAATAAGTTTATGGTACCTGAAAGTAGGTGGGTTTGCATTAAATTTTGTACCTTTTTAGTATATGGTCACATGACTGAAAGTCATCTGGGATAAAAGCACATAAACAAAATAGACAGACAGCTCTGCGTGATGGCGGATAGAGGATGGCGGATGGTGGAGTGCGGATGGCGGAGTGGATGGCGGATGGCAGATGGTGGATTATGAGAGGATTATATCCTCCGCTCACCAGGTGTTATTGGATGTTAAAAAACGCCAATGGTTTATCAATTCTAAATTGCTGTAAAAATATTCCAGTGGTCCAAAATAAGTGATTTGCTATAATTTCTATCAGTTAATTTATTTTCCGACAACTGCATGAAAATGACCACATTGCCATATCTGAAAACAGTGCCCAAAATATCTCATTGCCGCTCTAGAGCGGAAATGGATCAGTCCCACCCGATAATCAGCTGATTTCACTGTTGTAGTTTCTAGACCAACCACAGCTGCGGATCTAGTACGTTTGTTAACAACTGGTATGCAAATAACATAAACTTAAATAATTGAAACATAACCTAAATAACATTTTACAAACATCTACAATGTTAATCTGTGTGTCGTAATACGTTAATTATGGTGGTAGGAAAAATCTTGTGTGTATTACGAGCACAAACAGTCTTTATAGTACTAGAAATTACACCAGTTATTGCATTATAAGTACAATTAAAAGAATGATTTACTGTACAAACCATACATTTTATTATGAAAAAAAAGATTCTTTTGTTTTTCTATTACTGTGGAAGGGATATATTTTGAAAAGTCTTTCAAAGTATCCACAGAGCTTAAGTATCGTATAGTTCTAATCAAAAGTATGGATAAAAAGCTATTTAAATAAATTCAGCGTTATTCCAACGAGTCCACTGAAACTATTTTATCCTTGTTATTTATCATTAACGAGAGCTTTTAGTCTAAGCGTATTGATAAATATAATATATATACCATTTCGCTATCTTGTTGACCAATATATTCATATAAACAAAAACTACATTCAAAGGGTATAGGCTATAATGCAATTCCGTATAACTAATAAAACTACTTTTACGTATGATAAACTCTACAGAAAATAATAATAACTAAAACGATTGGTTTAAACGCTATTTTATTTGGACTTCATCTTTTAAATTTAGTGAGAATAATCTCCATACTACTTTCATGGAAATGTTTAGGTTAAGCAAATAAAGCCACAATAAATGCGCAACACAGCCACTGGCTACTCTCCCGTAACGCGAAAAGCAACTGCAATATTAAATATATATATATATATAATCTTAAATGTACTTGTTTTTATTTTATGTTTGGTTTTATGTTGTTGTATTTGTGATATGCACAACCCATATGAATGAAACATATACAAATTTAAAGAGTGAAATAACGTAAACTACCTAAAATATGGCAAAGTAGCAATCAGTTTTCTACCTATTTCATAAAGATACTAATACTGCATAAAAATGCACAATGAGAACATAACATATAGATCCTACCTATGTAGCCCCATCAGTAATATACTTTTCTATTAAAGGCTATATTTTTATTCGAAACAAATATTATAATTGTAGGTATTATGATAGTAAATATTCTGATTGAACTATAGTACGAACCGCTTATTCAGAAATGGAATAAGTAGTATATTTACCTAATACAAAATAGCTAAATCTTCCCTAAAACTATATTGAAAGGCCCCTTACAAGTTGTTGAATAATTTAGTGGTCTTTGAAACTCTCGCTACAGGTGAAATGGTTTAACTTCTTCTGAAACACATCTGAATACTAAAACTTTCTTGGACCTAGTACTATAAGACTAGCTTACGACCAATTTACAGTTAGACCACTTGTGGCAATATCAAGCCATTTCTTGTAGATTTAATACTGAGGATACATTTAAAGAGGATCCTACTGGTGTAAATTATTGGAACTTTACCCCTAACCACATGTACCAAAATTTGATGGATTTTTTTACTAATAAATATCCCATGATTTTACTAAAACTTTTAAACACTTGAATACTTATTAGGAAATATTTCTTGCGATCACAATCCTATTTCGATATTTTAATTTCAATTAAAAAAGATCAGTTGTTGTTTTTATCATTATTTATTTAATCACGTTTATTAATCTAAAGGTGAATGTTTTTTGCGTGATGCTAGAGGTTTTTTACTGTGAACAAACCAACGACAATATATGCTGAATATTCAGAAATCCCAGTGAATTGTCGAACTGATTTTGGTAAAAGATGTATTTAATCCAACGCACTGAAAACCACTCCACCATAGTCAATGTAGTCAATAACTGACAATGACCAGCTCTTTTCAGCAGCGTGTTGACCCTGTCTGTTTGGCCACTGAGTATACTTAGGTTTATT